GGGCCGCTGTCGCATCGCGCCTAGCGCCTCGGGGTGAGCTGAGGAGAAGCCTCTAGAGAAGCCTCACCGCCTTTCTTGCCTGCCTGTGCTAGTCTAAAGTTGCTGCTTGATCGCTCCGTGCAGAGAGGGCTGGTAGATGGAAACCCCTGGGCTTCCATGCTTTAATGGGGCACAGGCTAGGGCAGCGACAGCAAGTTTGTTTTAAGCTATCTCTTCTTGTTGCTGTAGATGGAATTATTTTAAAGTATGCAGGCACTTAGCACTGGTGAGGTAGAATGTTATTTATAGCTATGTTTTAGCTGGTCTGGAATTCGGGAGTATTGCTGGATTTGTCATGGCCCGAATGCGGGGTGTGGACACCAAATAGGGAGACAGACTGAAGAAAGCTTGAAGGAACGTGTTGAACCACTATGATAGCAATTCTTTTTTCCATCAGGCTTGATTTTTATTGACTATATTTCTGCTGTCAAAAGTGTGATGAGGCATTTAATAAGCGTGGGAAAGTTTTGGTCCAAGGCAAGAGGTTCTGCTCTGTAGAGCAGCAGTATTAACAAAGCTAAAAGACTTATTTTGAAATAGAATGCCTTCCCCTTTCACAACAATATTGCATTTCTTGTTTATCTCCAACAGTTCTCTGACACAGGCAGCAGAAAAGAACATGTCAAAATCACAAGTGAGTCCAAACCAGGGTTCCTGGAACGTCTCAGCGAAACTTCTGGAGGCATGTTGATCGGACTTGTGACATTTTTTCTGTCTTTCTACCTTCTTTTTACCAATGAAGTAAGTCAAATACTGTCAGTGTTTATACACAGTTTTAAAATACGCAGCTGAGGTGATATTCAACTAGCTTTGCATTTATAGCTTTTTTAAAATGGTCGTGTCAAAGCTTTACTACTTCATCCATGAGAAGAAGACCTTATGTCTGGAGAGCCTGGTGCTTACGGTTGGGATATAACAGGAGAGTGAAATCACAGGGCCACAGATAGTCTTTCTGTAGAACTGAGTGTGGTAGAGATGATGGCAGTGTGTGATGAGAGATGAGATACAAAACATGTAAGCTGATGCAGAAACAGGCCCTAGTGTTATTGAAAGAGGATTACACCCTCTGAGCCAGCCACGTTCTAGTCTTCTCTCTTTTCTTGGCGTAACATAAGGTTCTCATTTCTAGTGTTGTGTCCTCGTTTTGGCTGGGATGGAGTTGATTTTCCTTCCAGTAGCTGCTGTGGTTTGGATTTAGCATGAGAAGAATCTTGATAATACACTGATGTTTTTACTTTTTGCTATGAAATCAAGGACTTTTTTCAGTTTCCCACGTTCAGCTAATGAGCAGGTGTACAAGAGCTGGGAGGGAGCAAAGCCAGGCAGCTAACCCATGCTGGCCAACAGACGTATTCCGTACCTTAGATGTCATGCTTGGTGTGTAAAGGGGGGTTGGCCAAGAGGCAGGAACCCTTTTTCTGTGCGTTTGATCTTTTATGTGAGTTCGGTGAGCTCTGCGAAAGCCACGAGCTCTGTGAAATCTGCGATCGCTGCTCAGGGACTTGCTGCACAAATGATTTCAGGCAGTGAGAAAAGTTGTATTGTGTATAGCTGGTTTTGCATATTCTTTATTAATATTATTATTATTGTTCCATTCTTTGTTGTCTTATTAAACTGTCTGTATCTCAACCCACGAGTTTTACTTTTTGTCCATTTTCCCCCCAATCCCACTGGGAGGGGGAAGAGCACGTGAGCGGCTGTGTGGTCCTGGTAGCCGGCAGCCGGATTAAACCATGATATAATTGCCTTAAAGGAATTCATGTTGCAAAATCGAGGGTGTTATTTGTTGCCAGCATTATTTTATGTTTTGGTTTTAGATTAAAAATAAAATAATTAAAGTAAGCAGGGAATCCTAATGCCCTGCCGTTGCAAACATGCATGCTTTTGACAGTTTTGGAGTAGGGGAGCAGAATTCTGTGAATTTTCACCTAAGACTTTGTTTTGTACCTCCACAAGAGGAAAAAGAACCAATACTAATTTTAATGACTTTGCAGGGAAAAACACACCGTAACATGATGGTAAGGTAAGGAAAACTCCTGCCAAGTAGTCACACGGGTCTGTGGAAAAAGGAGCATAACTGATAGAATTTTTGCAGTTATTTGTGAACAATGAACAGGGTAAGAGTTGAAGAGCAATAATTTTGAACACTTGTAGAAATAATCTGTGTGTGTTTGAGGAGCTCAGTCAATGTTAATGGTCCTGCTGCGTGGGTAAGAAGTACTGCCCCAAACTGTGTCAGAGAAAGAGGCAGTGGAGAAGTACAAGTGTGTTTCGAAAATATGCCTTGAGGCTGAATATACAAGTGTTCGTTGCGGTCTTCACACCACTTGTCTGCTAACCTTTTTCACAAGATACTGCTGTGCCATTGATTCTCCGGAACTTGATTTTGCTTTTCTTGTTTGCAGGGACGAGCTTTAAGGACAGCCAAATCTCTTGATGAGGGACTTTCTCTTGTGATCCCTCTTGACAGCATCCACAGTGTGTCTCATCAGAATGAAGGGAGGTTGGTGCACCTGGCTGGCGCTCTGAGTACATCTAAGGTAAATAAAATAGTATCTTGAAAATACGAGTATTTCAAGCTTAGAGAGAAAGAAAAGTCATTGCCAATTAAAATTATATTTGATACCCAGGGAGAAGACAGGTAGCTTCTCTCCTTCTCTGTAAGCATTGCCGGCTACCACCCAAGCTTTGGTTCTTGACCTGGAATCAGAGAGATGCTGTACAGCCTTGGTCTCCCTACTCCGAAGCAACATGTCACCTCTAGCTGTGTTTACCCTCCCACTGCCTTTGGTGGACAGTTTCAGTTCCCCTTTGTAAAGGGAACCTGTTGTGTATTCATGGTATTGTAAAGTCTTCAGGCTCTTGCAGTACAGAGCTTCTGCAAGTTCTGACTTTTCAGTAGTGATGACATTTTCTGTGGTCAGCCTGCATTGCTGAAGGTAACACAGCACAGTAGCTTCCAGGAAAATAAAGTTTCTCCCTGGTTTAAACATTTATTTAAGGCTGCATACCAATAGCCAGCATTTCTGGTTTTATTCTTCACTATGGCAATAATTTTTGATGATGATTCTTTAGGTCAGATTTATCAGTGATATAAAGAGATGCTCCTTTTTGTCTTTCATAACATTTATACTATATTCAACTGTGTGTAATATAATACTAACTATGTACAGTGAGGTATGTAAATGGGTTTAGTAATAAAAGTACAGTTTTTGAGTTTGTGAGGTACAGCAATTATACTGACTTGTATGTTCTTTAATTTTTGAATAGCCTTTGTTTGATCCCAGCTATGGGCTCTCCATCCAGGCTGTCAAGCTTAAACGTAACGTTGAAATGTACCAGTGGGTAGAATATGAAGATTCCACGTAAGTGAAAATAATCTTTAAAAGTTGTTGATAAAACCATTGTATTAACAGGATCCCACCAAAACTTTTTCCTGTCCTCACCCCCAAAGAAAAAAACCCAACTCTTTAGGGCAGGAGAATTCTAGAGCTCTTGGGTTTTTTTTTAGAGAGTGACTTTAATTTCCTTGGAGACGTCAGGTCTTGTAGATGGTCAATGCTGCAGAATTTGCATCTGATAAAATTTGGGTAACTTCCAAGGCCTTTTATCAAACGTTTCCACTTCCTGATTTTGTATAACTTCATATGGGATTTCTTAGCCTCCATGCTGCAGCTGTGGTTCTTTTGTTTGCATTTTTGTTGCCTGATGCTGGGCTATCTCAGAGCCAATTGATCTGTTTTCATATGTTATCAACAGAATTCAAAGATCTTTACCAATTTATGAAAAAGAAAAAAAAAATGAGAAAAAACTTGTGTTTGTCCCAAAGACTCAGTTGATTTCTATTCTTCCTAGTGTTCCTAAAGCTTCTTTTATGTGTTGATATACTTTCTGACCATCAGGATTTCTGTGACTCCATCCCCATTATACTCCCTGCTTGCTAGTTAATTAGCAGAATCAAAGCTCAGAAAAGAGTTAGTTTACTTGTAAAGAGAAGTTTGTGTTGCCAGTGAGCTGTCTGTGCATTTCATATGTAAAGTGTATTCTGCCCTGAGCAGGGGTGTGTGTGCAGTGTGTTGGTTCTCATCCCACCCTTTTTGCCTGCAGGGAGTATGAAGAGAATGGTGAGATTAAGAAAGAGACGAAGTATTCATACAGTAAGTTGATCAACTTGTCCCTGTTCTTTTACACATATAACTTTGGACTTTTATGTGTTTGTGTTTTGATTTTTGTTGTAAACCCTGTATTTTCTTGTTGGGAAAGAAAGGAATGGAATGTGAAGAAATAAGCAAAAATTCTGTTTCCTAAACAAGTGGCAGGACCTCCCTTTTTTGAGGTAGCTGAGGTGAAAGGTGGTGTGCTGTTAGCAAGCAACTACTACAGAAAATCTAAGTCTTGTCTTGGAACTCCTAGATGTTCAGAGCAGCATCCAGGGGTAAGGATGCTCCAGAGATAGGGCACGTAAGGACCTCAGTGACAGGAGATGGGCAAAGATGGGAGTGTGTTCAAAACTACGCCTGAGACTGCTCTTTAGAAGTGGAGTAATTGGGCATGAGCAGAAGAGAATAAAAAGGGAAGAACTATGTAGCTCCAGCCTGTAAGACAGCCTGTTGAGAATCTGTTTAGGTGTTGTTACCAGCTAACAAAAACCACCAGCACCTTCTGAAGTGCACTGTGGCTTTTGCCAAATGCTGTTTTGGCAGGAGCAGAACTGAGAGCGTTATTCTGATCTGCCCAGTGGTAGAAAAATACTCTGAGTCATCGTATATCTGGAGATTGGTCTCTGTGCTTCATTTATCATTGATTAAAGCACATGGATGTATAACGTGGGTGTGCAGCAGTTTCTGGGTGTGATCATGGAAATAACCCAGCTCAGCAAAGCATGGGACCCTGGAGCATGGAGACGCATAAGGAGCAAAGCTAGTGGTTGTGAGCGAAAAACAGCCTTACAGTGGCAGGGAACAAAAAGAAAAGCCTTTTGAAAAAACAGCTGCACTCTCAAGATTAATGGATTCTGTCCAGGAAAAGTCTGTATGTTATTAGATGTGGTGGGTTAGCTTTGGTTGGCAGCTAGGGGCCCACACAGCTGCTTGCTTACTCCCCCCCTCAGTGGGACTGGGGAAGAGATTGGGAAGAACAGCAATGAGAGAGCTTGTGGGTTGAAATAAAGATAGGGAGATGGCTTACCAATTTTACCATCATGGGCAAAACAGACTCAGCTTGAGGAAAATTAACTTAGTTCATTGTCAATGAAAATAAATATTTAATTACTGATTTGAGTGTTGTGTAAATACATTTGCTCTCACGCTTTCCCAGGCTCAGTTTCACTCCAGACTCTTCTCCCCTTGTCCCCTGTTAAAACTTGTTATTGCCACAGGTTACACTGGCTCCCTTTAGTGGGGCAGCGAGCGGTGCAGGGGTGGGGGTAGGTTCAAAGTCAGTACGTAGTGGTTTCTCTCTGCCACTCTCTCCTTCTTGCACTTCTCCCATGCTCCAGCATGGACTGTCTCCATGCTGCAGTGAATATCTGCTCTGCTGTGGAGCACCTCCTCCTCTGACTGTGGTGTTCCCTCTGTTGTTTCTCACTCCTTTTTGTTCCCTCCTTGCCCCATTTGGTGTTTTCTGCCCTTTTTAAAAAATGTTTTGACAGAAGAGCCCCAAATTTCGCTGATGGGCTCAGCTGTGGCCTGCAATGGTTTCAATGTGGAGCCAGCTGTGCCCAACACAGGGCAGCCCCTGACCTCTTCCCACAGAGGCCACCACCCCCGCCCCCCCGATCTTGCCACGTACCCAAGACACCAGAATATCCCATGCAATGATTCCTACTCCACTGTTTAGCCAAACTCCCTTTCCTTCCTTTCTACTCTTTCATGGAAGTGAGCAAGCTATATTTAATATGGAGGCTGCTCAAAAAAGGCAGTCTAATTTTGAAGGAGTTATAAGTAACCTACTGGAATCTGTTCTGGGGATGTGGGGAGGCTGCTGTAGCCTGAGTGAAGACAGCATTACGTATTTTTGACAGTGGCACATACAGGTACCACCTCTATCTGTTGCTTGACTGCACTGAAATTTGCTAGTTCCAGCAGAGCTCTCAGCTTTTCCTCACAAAACCAGATTATTCCCATAGAGTGGAGCCGGGAATCAAATCCAGCAGCAGAGCTCACACTGAAGTGAAGCTGAGTTACATTTTTATCGCTAAAATCCTTTTTTTCTAAATCCTGCCATTCCTCATTAATGTGCTAGGAAGATGGATTTAAGTATCAGTGCAGACTATCACATACATACTTTGATGTAAACATTATTACTGCAAGTATAACTTAGAACTGATTCGTTGATTGAAAGGTGTCTTCAATAACTAAGATCTGAGTGGCAGTTTTTCCTGTTTTCTCCTCAACCTTCGTATCGTTTCCTTTAGACACCGAATGGAAATCAGAAGTTGTGAACAGCAGAAACTTTGATCGAGAAATTGGACACAAAAACCCTAGGTAATTTACCACCAAGCACAGTCCCTCTAGATTCTGTCACTATATGATCAAAGATGAAAGCTAAATGACTAATCTTTATGACACGGTGAAGTAGGTGGGAACTGTTGGTCTTTTGGTGGTTGGGAGAACTAAGGCATAGAGAGATTAGAGAGGATTTCAGAGCTGGCCAGTGGAACCAGAATTAAGCTATCCATTAATAATGGCTGGATGTCAGGCTATTATGCTGTTACCTCTTGACCAATGTGGGCTCCATGTAGGAGAACTTGAATCGATTCCTTTCTTACTTTTATTGGCTATTAGTGCAGTCTATTACTATTTCTTTCCGCTGTTACAGGTACAGGGTTAGAATAGCAGGCGTCCTGTGAGCTTGTCACACCACTTGCATGCTGCTCTGCTAAGCTAGAGCGTATGAGCTCACAGGCTTATTTGTGGCAATCACCCATACGTAATTTGTTTCATGTGTACCTCATCTGCAGCATTTTAGTTACACTACAGTGTGCCATTTTTAACGCTAAGTGTTAGCTTGCTTGTCATTCTCACAGCACCTGCTTGGTTCCTTAGGATGCAAGATTCCATTTGGCAAAAAACATCATGTGTGGTGAAAAATACAGCCAGAGAGGTAGTAGGACCAGGATTTCAAAAAATCTTTGAACTTTGCAAAATCCCCAGAACTTTGTTTTGGTTCTGTGAGCTTATCCAAATACACTGCCATTTGTTTGGAAGTACGACTTGCAGAGGGAAAGTGAAGATCTATGTGGTTTTGATTAGAAGTCCCAGCTAGCAGACTTGTTTAGATGAGAGATAATGGAAAAAAGCATGCACAGCTGACATACCCGCTTTGTGTCTCCTCTCCATGCACACTTCTTTGTTAATGAAAATTCTTCAAGCCTTCTCCAGTAAATGCAAATCTCCAATTGAGAGTGAGAAACATTTTTTTATTTAGTGCTATTGCAGGACATGATTTAAAAAGTGCTGCAGCTAAGAACATTTCATCTGAGTGTATTAGTACAAACCAAGGAGACTGAGCATACTGTGGTGGATCCTTGTCTGAGACAGCACGCTGTATACAGACATGCTGAACTTTAGAATTTATTCCTAGCATTAATGAGACTATTTTAAGTGTGTACTACATGTCTTCTTCCTTCCATCCATCCATCTTACCATTTTATGCAACTTAGACATTTGTGAAAATAAAATCTGTTCTTTACTGCCAAGGAGATTCTAGTAGTACTACTTAGGAGAATGAAGTCAAGTCTGACACTAAAGGATTCCTGAGTTTGGAATTTAATTAACTTGGCCATGATGTAGAAGTACATTTTATATGGAGAAGGTTTATGATCTAGGTTTCCAAATTTAGCAGATAAGATCTAGCAGTTGACAGCGGAAGTTAAATAAATTCAGGCTAGAAATAAAGTGCATTTATGAGTGTAGTTAAATGCTGCTGGAATTCTCATCTAAGAATGTGATTCATTCATTGTCACTCAAAAACTTTATATCACCACTGAACAGCTTCCTAAGGGTTGAACTCCATTTCAGCCCATTATAGGTTCAGTAGAGAAAAATCTAGTGAAATCCTGGAGTGTGAATGGAAGGTCGGGCCAGGGGATGAGACTGTCATATCTTGTCTTAACTTATTTTGATGGCTCCAACACCATGCAGTCTGGACACAGCTTCTTGATGGATTTGTTTTCACGTCATGACAGCCATTTAGCTCTTTGAGTTTCTCCTGATGTTTGGTATAGTGCCTTTTATGTGCTGTATATTACATAGTGCAAATCAAGAGTTTGATCATAATTCTGGGACTAATCAAGAACTCTGTCTGTTCCCTAGTGCCATGGCTGTGGAGTCTTTCACTGCTGTTTCTCCTAACGTCCAGGTTGGCAGCTTTGTTCTTTCCAAGGGTAAGGGTTGCTTTGTACTGGCTTTGTGTCTGATGTTGCATCAGCAGCGGACTTTGTTTTTTTCCACTATGGCAGTCATTCCAAGTGATAATCAGGAAGCCAGCCAGCAAATTGGCTGTTCCAAGTTAGACACTGGACCTGAGCTTGATTTTTTTATTCTGCTTAGGTCTTGTGGATAAAATTGATGACTTCAAGCAGTTGAGCTTGTCAAACCTGGAGGATCCACATGCTGATGTTACCCGAGGAGGAGATTACTTTTACCACAGCGAGAACCCCAGGCGTCCAGAAGTAAGACGAGAAAGATAAACTGAAGCAATGATTACTACGATGTGAAAAACAAAGTTGGGGCTTGTCCCATTTTTATTTAAATGTGTAGAATTTGGAGTGCAGACCATCACCTAGGATGGGACCCTTAGTACAGTCCTTCAGCAAGAGCGCTTCGCTTGCAGAAAGCTTCTGATCCTGCTTATATCTTTGTCTTCTGTTTTCTTAAGTCTGCTGTGCTTTTAAACAGAAGGACACAGGATGGTGCTGGGAGGTGGGTTCCACCTGTGCCTTGCTGTACTGAACACAGTACAATGAAATAGCTCGTTGTTAGCTTGTGCTGCCTGCCCTTCTCTGCCAAAAGGTGAAACAACAAGGGATGAACGTAGGATCGCATTGGTGCTAATCTGCTTGTACAGCTAAATCAGAGGGGGTATTGCAAAACAGCATTTGAGCTACACTGTTTCCTCTATCAACTAGGCTGGAAAAAGTACAGCTTGGAAATTATTCTGGATATCCTCTGGCTTGACACAAGCGTTCAGAAAAAGTGTTGATACCTAAAGGATGCTCCCAGGCAGAGTTGTCTTTTGTGTGATTCTCCTTTGTAAAGAAATCTTTCCTGACTTCCAGTATTCTCTTGTTTGTAGGTGGGAGACCTTCGTGTCTCATTCTTCTATGCAGGTCTGAGTGGAGATGACCCCCATTTGGGCTCTGCTGATAAGGTGTGTCTTCAACTGTTTCTGTATTCTGCAAATTTGGTTCCCAACTCAGTAACCAGTAAATATTTTTCCCTTTCTTCCAAGGTGACTGTGATTGCTCGGCAGCAAGGCGATCAGCTAGTTCCGTATCACACCAAGTCTGGAGATGCTCTGCAGATTCTCTACCCTGGGGACCTCTCTGTGGAGGTAAGATACCACACTGTACTAATGAAGGGTTAAAACTGGAGATGGTAGTGCAGAAGCAGCAGGAGAGTAAGCTCTCACTGTCTTTCAGACCTGCTCTAGAGGAGGAGATAGTCAACATAAACATTGACTTTTACCTCTCCTTTTTCTAGGACAGTGTGTTAAAGCCTGTTTTTGCCTTCCAGGTTTCTGCACATTCTTTGTGTTGCAGCAAAATGCTGTGCTTCACCTGCTAGCAGTGTATGATTTGGCTACAGTTATTCCTGATGGGTTTTTTTAATTTTAAAAAGGAACTGTGGCTAAAGTAACTATGTATTTTTTTTTTTTTAAATCTCCTTGTTTTGTCTTAGCTTTAAAGGCTGTTTCTGTTTCTTCTCATTGTGCTTTTATTTGCTTTTTGGTAATTCCCACTTGCACATGCAAGCACATGCTTTTGAAAAGGTCAATGCAAAAATAGTACAAATTAGGCTTTAATTAAACAAACCTTAGGAGCTATCTTCTCTTCAGCTTGTAGTAACAGGGTTTTAGGCTTGTTTGAAATGTTTATTGCTATTCTGGCTGAGAAAAAACCTTTAGGCAGAACATTATGCTCCAATAAATCCTGCATGCTCCAGCAATTTGGTGATTCATTTACTCCTTTTGGTAGGTTTGCTTCCATTAATGATTGTTTCATGCCCTGCTGCAAAAATCCCAGATGTCAAGAATTTACAGGAGTTCCCACAAGCAGTTAAAAAGACTTTTGTTTTGAGTTGAAAGAGAGTAGCAGTAGAATCATCTCTCTGCTGTGAGCTCTGAATCCTCATTAGGTAGAGTTTTAGTTCATCGGAGATTAACTTGCTACAAATGAATAATTTGTAGAGTACTTGTATCTACAAGTAATTGATCAGTCATACACGTCTTTTCCCAGTAAGTGCTTTGTTATCTCTTAGCCATCTTCATGTGTACGTTTTATAGAGCCAGAGGGGCACACAACCCATTTTGAAAAAATCTTAGAATTGTTAAGAATAGATGCTTTGCTTTGCCTGATGAAATATACGCACACCTTTTATCTTTTCTTCCCTGCATACTGCTTGCTTTCTTTCACACACCTTTCCTTCAGCCATCAGTGGTTATTGTTGCCTTTTGTGTCTTCCTCCAAATATAATGAAGTCAGATTGTTCCTCCTTTATTACACTTACTTACTAGTGTCTTATTTTCCACAGTAATGTTCAATGTATCCATTTGCAGCAAAAACGGTGTGCTTTCTGCCTGTGGTTATAGTGTGTTGAACAGTGCTTGTTTAGCTGTCTTCATTTAGAAAAATGCTCGTTTCTCTTGTGCTGCACTTTACAATCTATTGTAGTGTGCTGCAATAGTGCACAAAAAAACCCTGCAGAATGAGCTGCAGTATATCTTCTGCGAGAGAAATTGTACTCCTAAAATGCTGTTGGCTCTGATTTGCTCATAATATAGACTGGAATCAAGAGGATCTCGAAAGAAATGAGAAACAGGCTGCATGTCACGGTGTTTGTTTTCAGGAAGTGTTTCAGAAAGAGCATGAGAGTAACACTGTAAAGACCTGGGCCCTCCGCGCAGCAGGCTGGCTGGCAATGTTTGTAGGCATCAGCTTAATGACCCAAATCTTTTACACTCTGGGTAAGTTTTTTACAGAAAAGTAAAATGATTTAGATATAGGATCATGATCCCTAGAGAGTCCTCTCTTGCTCACATATGCAATTAATTAATTTGGAGGTCAGGAGGAGTCTGGTTTGAACTCAGATTGGATTTGATCTGAAAGTCACTGTAGGCAATTGCAGATAAACAGGATCCCAGAACCAGATGACTGCTTTGTGAACATTAAAAAAAGGTATGCAAATATCTCCTTGCCAGTCTCAGAAGATCCCAGCCCAATGCTTACCAAAACCAGAAGCCGAAGCACATGTTGGGCTGGTTCTTTCAAGTCTAACTCAAGGTGCTGCAATCCACTTACTTTCTACACCCATACACAAGTGGTCCCCCCAACAGGTCTTAATTAGTAGTTGTGTAGCAACATGTCTTTATTGTCTGGTTATTCTATGCTACTGCAAACACACAGCAAAAATGGTTTTCGTTTATCCTTTTAATGTAGAAAAATGTTGGAATAAAAACTTACAGAAAGGCAGGACGGTGCCTCAAACTTGTATAAACTTCAGACATCAAAGCTATCATTTGCTTTGTAGCTGTGAACTCTTTTTTTCTTATTTATCCATATACATGGTACTGCAAGATTTATTGTTGCCAGAAATCAATTTTTGGGCTAGCATATTGTATTAGTTGCCCTAGACTTGTTCCATAGCTGCAGGGCTATCAGTCTACTCTGCCTCTCAAGCCTTGGACAAGCCTTCAGCCTGAATTCTGGATTACTTCCTATCTGAAGAGATGAGGATGCCGTTGCCTTATATATTTAGCTGTTGCTTAATTATCAAATGCCTTGAGGACACGCTGCTGAAATGTCTTACCCAGTGCTCTTGATAAATAATTTGAGTCTGTCTTCTGATTGCAATAGTTAGTTTGCAAATCCTAGGCATGAAGAAGACGACTTCCTTTTAAACTCCCATCAACTTCTTTATCCCTTGTTTAATTCTTTCTGCAGTGGACTGGTTTCCTGTTGTCAGAGATCTGGTTAACATCGGATTGAAAGCATTTGCCTTCTGCGTAGCCAGTTCGCTGTCGCTCTTGACCATCTCCATCGGCTGGCTCTTCTACCGCCCTCTCTGGGCTTTGCTGATCGGGTTGCTCTCTGTAGTTCCAATTGTGGTCGCGAGATCTCGTGTTCCGCCGAAGAAGCAGCAGTGAGAAGGAGGTGGTCGGGTTTTGTGCTGAATCTCCGTTAGAAGCTTCTCAAGTGCATTTCTGTCCCGGTACTGCAGCATGCTTACAGCGTATCACAGTTCAGCAGTGTGCACCAGGAGCTGGGGAGGGGGCTTGAATGTTGTTGTTGATACATGTTATCCATGAAAAATATGACTATGGGATGCTGTTTGTAGGAAGTCAATGACATCGACTGTGGGGAGAAAAGCATTCTGGAGCATCTGCATTAATTGTAAGTCAGTGAACAAGTAGATTTGTACCTCTTCTCCACTTACTGATTCCTCCTGACTTGAGAACTGGCAAGTGCTCACTGCCAGGTGGGGCACCTTGTGTCTTATGCAGAAAGTGCCAGCTTCATCACATGCACTGTGATTAGATACACATAGGAAATACGTGTGGGTCCCCATCTCTGACAAACCTGCCCTCTGCTGCTTTTTCTTATATGCACCGTCATGTATCATGTACACGTCTTTGGCCAATGCATTTGGAAGTGCAACGCATGTTCAAAAGAAAAACGCAACTTAGTTGAATTTTACACAATACTTATATAAAATGTATGCTTTTGGACTGAGAATTTTCAAAGTAACTTGAAATAATGAGTGGCTGGGTTAGCAGTGCTCTGAGGTAGGGCGGATTTGTCAGAAAGGATTGATTTCCCCCAACTTTTGAAAAATCTCTGAAGTTGTTCTTGGTTAGGCATTCAGAATGGTAGCGTGGACTATGCCATTGCATAACTATTTCAGAAATTTAGCTTTGAATTGCACTTATTTAAAGGGATGCTCAGAGGTCACTAACCTTTAAAAATAAAACCTGCTGCCTTGATACAGAATTAACTTTTATAATTGAATGTATATTCTTTAAAATATATTGAGGGTATTTTTTCAGTGTATACTGTTCCTTTCTTGAATTTCACTTAGTAAGGACAATGAACATACTCCATGAAATTAAATAATGAAAACATTTTTGCTTGATTAGATTTCATAGACTTCAGTAGCCTAAATTTTGAGCTTTAGATCATGTTAGAAGAATGCTGCCTTGTAGTGTTGTGATGACTCATGTTTATGTATTTCTGCTGTGACCAGTACTTTAGAGACTATCTTGTACAGGCTTTAAGTCTCTCTCCACCTAGCTGCAGTGTGGCTTCCAGATGTGCCCTCCCTACACTACAGTGTTTTTTTTTTCTGTGAGTATACACAATTCAGTACAAAAATAATGTGTTCATTATGAAAACCAGTTACGACCATCAGGAGAAACTGAACTTGAACATACGTAGAAGCAAATGTTTGCCACAACTGGTACTGAAATAGAGATCTGAGTTATAAATGTTTTGAGAAGCAGTAATTACTTTATTAGCCTTAATTCTTTTCATTCTTCTGGTATTTGAATGTTGTCAATTCAGTCTCATGGCTCGAGTCCTGTGTTAAAAGCAATAGTAGTGAGTGAAAGGTTAAAGGCAGTGCAGGTGGTCTCGTGCATGCAGCTGACACGCGTTAGCAATACTGCCCAGTCTTTCTGCTGCTTGCTAACACCAACTTCTGCTCCATCAATTAAGATTTGTGCTCCATGGGGGAGAAAAACAGGTGTTGGACTGCAGTTTTACCAGTGATGCAGGAAACTAAACCAGCATTACCGTATTAGAGATCAAGACACAATTTTCTACAGAAGTGCTGAGCTTTTATATATTTAATAAAGTACAGTTTTCAAAAGGTTGGTCTGTAGGCTTCTTTTTTATTACCTTTAAGTGTTGCACGTTTCATGTCCTGGAGTAGTGCCCAGGTACACAGAGGATTACTTTGTACCTTCCAGATGAACTAGTTTTCTGTTGCTGGTTGAGATAAATGTGTAGTTGGGTTTTGTTTAGCCTGCAGACATTTTTCCTATTTTGGGAAGCACTTTCCTAAGAGCAGCTCTGCTGTTATCTGCTCTGTATGCTTCTGTGTGGGGAAAGGCTGATTCCAGCCCATTACTGACTACTTCAGTAGCAGTAACTTCCTTGCCTCCGTAAGATTACTTGAAAAATGCGGTGGTTCAACCTGACTGGATACAGCATCTTGTATTTTTGAAGAGCCTGGGGGTTTACCTGTGCATTCAACAGCTTGTAATACTTTTTCCTTACATACCCATGTGTGCACAGGAATGATGCAACATCCAGCAAGACTCCTTTCACAGACAAGAACTGCATCTTTCCCAGGCTAGGCGCGCTGGCAGAGCCAAGGCTCGCTTCCATTGCACGTTGCATGAGTGTCATTTCTGTAGAAACAACTGAAGTGGTGTCTCTCTTGCTTCCGTGCCAAAATCTGACAGAACGTGTACCTGATCTGTCAATCACCGCTCCTTTCTGCTTTGCTCTCCCTTAAAGCCTATTTACTCGTTCATCTTTTGCGTGCTTGGGTTACCAGAGCTGGCTGGTGGCAGGGCTGAGGAGCAGGACCCTGCCCTCTGAAGGCGTCACTGTCTTCCCCTGCTGACTAGAAACAGTCCCTGGACTCATCACTCTGTGCCCCTGTGCCCCAAGTTCAGAAGTAATGGTGTCGCTTTGGTACAGCTGGTACCAGCTCCCATTTTAAGCAGACAAAAAATCACCACAGAATCACAGAATGGTAGGGGTTGGAAGGGACCTCTGTGGGTCATGAGCTGGACGTGGGCCCTTGCATTCCAAGTGCTCATCTCGGGGTGTACCCTGCCTGTTGGCATGACGACCAGCACAGGAGGAACTACGGCCCCTGTGCCCTCTGCAGTTTTACCACTTCGTGCAAGATTTGGAACTTTTCTTGAAGCCGTATATACAGGTCACATCTACTCCCCAAGCCTCCAGCTCAGATGATTGGTCTTTATTTAGAATCTGGTAGCAAAACCTAAAAAACTCAGCACCATGACCCTTAACATTAAAGCAATTCACAAGCAGCCAGCTCTGCGATATCCTGGGACCCAACCTGTGACTTCCGGAAATGCTACAGTGTGCTCTTCTCCTTGCGTGAGCGTCCTTCCAGGGAAACGGAGCTGCTTGAAGAATGAGCTGGCTGGAGGGCGGGTGTAAAGGACAACATGACTCTTTTTTTCATACTTTATTTTGTTCTACAAATACAGTACAAAAATAGATGTTTTTCTGCACATAATTAAATATAATTATTTTCTTGTATTTCAATCTTTCTAACGATGTCCACCACCACCTAGACTGTATTTCTCTCTATTTTTAAAGCGACAGTGTCAGTGTAATTTAATTATAAAAATACTGCAAAAGATAGATCAGCATTTCTATTACAAAACTGCAGGAAAAGCTTCTGTAGATGTAACATTCCTCTCTTAACAGTTTTTAAATGCTGCGGTACTGCATAACATTTACAAGAGCTCTCTGGTTTCAGTGAGTTTCGTTTCTGACAGTGACACTCAGCCAGTTTTACAGGTTTTGCTCCAGAACATAGCCGCATGGTCTTGATAAAACAACACTGAAACAAATACGTATATATTCAAATTACTTAAGAAGAAATACTTAACCTTCTGCTTGAAATGAGGACAGGGCTTCTCCCTCCTAATGCACGAGATTTCTGAAAGTAAAGGAAGATTGCAGGCTGAAAAGCCAAAACTGAGTTTTCATGAAAGGCAAGTGTTCTTTAGAAAATAAATGTTCAGATTCCTCCAAAGCTTGACTGTGTGCTTCTTTACACCTTAGGGAAGTATTTGCCCTTCGCTGATGATGAGACAGTAAGACCAGAACTCTCCTTCACCACTCATTTGGATAAGGTAGGAATCAAAGAGGGCGTCAGCAGTCCTTGGCTAGCTCACCACAGACTGTAAAACAGCAGCTGCATGCTTTAGTTCTGGGCAAGCAGGAAAAAATGGAAAGGAGAAAAATGGGAAAAGACAGTGCTAGTGAAAGGAATGCCTCAGAAAACAGAATTATTAGTGCTGAGTGATACACAAGAGAGCAAAAAACACCAGCAGCACAGAGTGATCTTCTCAGAAGGTACAACCACCCATCTGCTTCTGCTAAGTCCAAGGACAAAAAGATCAACCTAATTACCTGTGATTGATAGTAAAAGAAACTCGATACTGGATGAGGTTGGTCCCTGACAGCTCAGAACACAAGTCCCCAGGAGGATTAAGTCCTTAACCGTCAACGGATACTTCTGTTGCGACTGTTGTTCTTGCATCTGGAAATGGCAAAGAAACGCTTGTTCTGATCACAGTTTCTCAAAAGGGAACAACTGTGCTGCTTCTCCTTTCTTTTCTCGCTTGCTCTTTCTGGTTGTCTTCTCTTCTTTTTTTTTCTCTAACTGGCGATTTTGGGGCCAAGAAACGGCCACGTTCCCTACTGCAGTCTCTGAACTCGGGCCTCCTTCTTCATCAGAAGAGAATCCAGCTCCTTTCTCTGTCGCAGGTGCTGATGGCTCAGTCTGGAAAAAACAGGTGTGAAAACTGAAAAGTTGCTCTAGAAATCCCTCGTAACTACCCCTTTCTAAAAGGGATTGTCTTCTGTCACAGTGACGCTTGATGGTATTACAAAACTTGGTTGCTCAGGTTTGGGCTTCTCACCCAAAGCAGCGTGTTTCTATTCCTAGATGTCAAGCATTCTTTCAACACAAGCGAAATATTTTTGATGACGGAAGAATAAAAATAAACCTGCTTTAAAAAGATCATGCTTTTCACTTTTCTCAATGAGAAAAAGATTAAGAACTAAAACATCTCAGTTCATAACAAAAAGTAACCCACTCTCATCCTGTTAGCTACATGCTTGGCTTGGAGGAATAAATCTAGGAAGGGGGTATGTCAAAACAGAAAATAATACCAAAAAAAATGATGCTTTAGGAAACAGTAATCTCTTGCTAAACAATAATGAATCTTTCACGGACATGACCACATTGAATTTCTGGTGTAGGTTTTTTTACTAGTTGCTAGTCACATGCTAACAACAGGAAAGAAGATGATTTTTGAGCAAATACACTCTGGAAGTTCTACACTCTACAGCTGGAAACATAACACATTGGAAAGACTGGGAAAAAAATCTCTTGGTAGAGAAATATCATCCTGAAAAGGAAATAACTAATAGAAGTGCAGAATACCTTGATGGAGTAGCGTTGCTTCAGTCTCTCTCTGATGAGAAGTCCTTTTGTCAGCAGCTTCCAATTCCCCACAGCTCTTTTCTCACGCTTCTGCATGGGATTGTTATTGAAAAGAGAAAAATTTACTATCGTAAGTTTCAATACATTTACGCCCACAGAAAACCAAAGCTTAAAGATTTTGAACTGCCATTAAAAGAACCATGCCAACTGAAATGTGTCACGTTAAAAGGTTATAGGCCAGTAGGATTCTTAAGAGTAAAATGTATCGGTGTCCAATGATCCGCTAAAAACATGAATTACTGTCACTGTCCAATGTGCACCCTGACTGTGTAAATTACAGCAGATCCACCTCCAAAACTTTAACCTCTCGTATGTGTATTTCTCCTTTTTGTTTCCCAGCAGCCATGGAAAGCTATTCCAGAGTTTGGACTATTTCAGATATTGCTACACACTTGTATGGGATCCACTGCAGTCTGGTCAGCAAGCCCAAAATGGGGCATTTGGGGAATTCAACTCACCCCTCCCAGTCACACAGCTCTGTGTCTGTTGTTTACACAGCACACCCTTGTTTGGCTGTCCACAGTTTGAATGAAATTTACTTAATAAATGGAACAATAAGGAAGCTGCAAAAATAATTCTCACCTCCTTCTCCTTCTTTTCTATTTCTGCTTGTTCATTCTCCCAGGCAGCAGTCAGGACCTCTTTGTACTCCTCACAGACAACATAGCCATCGGTACTAGGAAGGAGAACACAATCCTCTGTCAGCTACTAGAATAAAAAAGAAAGGGAGCAAATGCCTGCTGACCCAGCCAAACCAAAAGCTACTGAATATCGACAGAACTGCCTGTCTCATAGGATCTAAGTGTTTGACTCATCACATGTGCTCCTTAACACAGGCTATACAACTTCTGCAGGACGTCAAAATCTGCAACAAAGCCGCTTTACGTACACTGGGTGCGAGTAGCCGCCATGAAAATCAAATCCAGTGATGGCCTGAGCACAGTCAATGTCCAACTTCCGCGCCAATCTGTTCAGATTTGGGAGCCGCAGCTGCACACAGCCAATGGGTAGCATGCATGGCAGGAAGAGATAGACATTTCCATATTCATTCCGAGGAACCTGTTTTTGCAAAATTAAACAGAAATGGTGACACTCCCGCTCTCTGGAGAGAGGTGAAAATCCCTGCTGCAACTCAGGGACTTTCCTTTCCTTCTGACCTGGTACAATCCACTCCAGTATTCGATTGCTATTCACATGACAAGGGACAAGACTAGATTTTAGCTGCACGGTTCTCTCTTAACTATGTTCTCTGCCCAGGCCTTGTTACTCAGGCTGTAATGCAGAGAATTAGCAAAACAAACATGGGCTAGGCAAATTAGATCAACAAAATTATAGTTAGTAGTCTGCACTGCTAGCACTCATTACTTGCACTCAGGAAAGAAAGGCCTCAGTGAAGTTTTGACCGTTTCCTCCTCGGTACTGTTACCTCTGAACTCTTAATCCTGAATCCAGATGCTATTGACTGATCTCACCTCGGAAACATGCAGCTTCTGGAAAAATAAAGCCCATAGCTCCACACAAACACTTCCTTTAACACCAGCCCTCGGCCTTCCTAGCTACCTTTCCATCCACGGCTATAGGCGGCTGATACTCCTCTGTCTGCCAGTGACCAAACAGTGCCAGGTCCTTTTTCTCCCGGTTTGCAGGCTCTGCAAGGCGCGCCCTCCTCGCCTGGTTAGAAAATCCTTTCACCATCTGTGCAAATACAATGACCAAGCCTGTACCACCACAACAAGAAGCTGCCAGTGCTTTCAGACTTTCCTAGGACATCAAAGGAGAAGGCTCTGGGAGAGAAGAAATGCCCATTTCCTAGCTTCAGTATCCACAGCTTATAAATGATAACCCACGGCCCCGGTATGCAACAGGGAGCCAGATCCTGCAGTTCACACAAAACGGTAGGATGCTTTTGAAGAAGATGAAAAGGCTGCAGTTCTGCTAGATACCCTTGGAGTGGGAAGAACAGGTAGCTGGGCTTTGGGTAGCACATAGGAACTGTAGGCATATTAGGTGCTACATAGACTCATGATGCAGCTACCACAAACCATGCAAGCGAGAAATCTCTATCTGCTAACAGAGAGAAAGCAAGACTCAAAACAGAATAACAGAATTGGGCTTGAACTTTAGAGGGCAAAGGTATTGCACAAAACCTCTTGTCAATGCCTCTTACCTTGTAAGGCACTTCTCCAATCCTCACCACTCGAGCTTTCTTCAGCCAAGTGTCCTTGGAGTGCAGCGTGTGTACGCAGTCTCTGAAAAGGCCAGAGGGAAGCAACCATAAGAGTTTTAAAGTTTCTCCATAAAAGACTTCCAAACTGTTATTCACACGTTAGGAAGGGTAAAAAAGCTGTATCTAAGTGATATGCAAATGCTGTCTGAGCAGCTAAATGCCTCACCCTGCCCGTGCCTGTGGCCTGAGACTAATGCTGATACCATCACGGTCTTCACACAAATTGGCACTTAAATTTGTTACAAAGATCACAGTCGCACATGATGTGCAGAGCTCACCTGGAGTAGATAGCCTCTCCCCTGCAGTACCCTAGGATAGCAGCTGACTCAGGGTAGATCGCCTGGTATTTCAAGAGGTGCCTCTTCAGTGCGTAAAGAGGGTGGTTTTTGTACTCTCCAATTGCTGTTGGTAGAGGTTGATCTTGAAGCTTAACTTGAAACTGTAAGAATTATACAAAGAAGAGTGATTTCACAACTCTCTCACACTACCCTTTGTAATAAAATAAGAATGATCATAGTATGGATCAAAGGAAAAAAACAACAGGAACTTAGTGAGATGAGCCAACAGACCAAAGCATTCTTGTTGCAAATAGGTACTTAGATGTGTACCCAGATCTATGTATTTTGAAGACTCCCTTCAAGAAGGGTAATGCTAAACTGTACAGAAACCACATTACTAAGTTTCTAGCATGGGCTGTCCAGTACTTTTGCTATCCAGATTTCTCTGAACAGCCTCCACTTCATATTATTTTAACCTATCATTGTATATTCCCTTTAGAACACGCTCAGTCTGAACATTTCAAACTCAAATACAAACATCCTTCCTCATGGAAAGATTCCTAATGATTTTTGCCTGAATGAGAATCCAAGGACTGGACCCCTGGCACTAAATGTCCTGAATAACCTATTGCCATTTACCTCATTCTCCTCCTTCTTGTCTCTTTCCACACAGGGACTTCTATATGGCTGCAGCGTGTCTTCCCACCACTCAGGGTCCACACGAGTCTTCCTTGTTGCGGTCATCCACACTGGGTCGTATCTTTGCGTCACGTCCCTGACACTCCCATCATTGTCAAATCCCACAATGTAGGAAAGTGGCTTTGTGGCATATCTGAAGCACACCTGGGGCTGGCCAACATTGCCATGAACACAGTCTACACACACCCACTTGTCCTCACGTTCAAGGAAAACCTCCAGCCACTGGTCTGTGCCCATTCCTTTCCTTACCTCCTGCTGTCCATCATCCTCATCACTAGAAATTATTTTGTTTCTCTTTTTCTGTGCTTGAGGCAAGGCTGGAGCTGTGCTTTTTGCTGGCCTAGGCTCAGCTCCATCTGAATTTTTGGATGGCCTTGATTCTGAAGTCTCAGTTTTGGGGCTTTTTACAGCTGTCATCTTTGACTTCTGGGAGCCCAGTGACCTCCTCTGCCTTTTAGAGACAGTTTCAAAATCCTCATCAGAGAGACCACTCTCCTCCTCTGAAACCTCAAACTCCGAAACACTGTGCTCATCACTTCCACTCTCTTCTTTGTAACACACTTTGGAGGCCACTCGTCTCCGGCGATCGTTCTTGGGCCTAACATGCACATCTTTTTCTGCTAAAGTGCTCTCCTCATTACTAGATTCCTTCTGTTCCTGGCTACCTGTAGTCAGCTTTGACTTGCGTGCCCTTTTGGTCTGAGCAGTTTTGCATTTCTTTGGCTCCTTGTTGTCTTCTTCGCTCTCTGAGGATTTTTCATGCTCTTTGGCTTTTCTGCAAGGGCATTTTCTTGCCACAGTTCTGGGTGTTGTGGCAGAGTTCTCGTGCCCCTCAGAGGTTCCGCTGAGAGACTGCCTCTTGGATGAGCTTTTTTCCTGCAAAGAAAGAAGTTTAGTCACTTTTATTACCACGGCTAAGAGTATGTTAAAAAGACAGACTGAAATCAGCACGAGGTGCATGCAGACCAAAGGCTGGCAGGCATGGTCAATCTGCATATCTTAGGGACATGAAAATTTAATGGCTGAAGAGAGGTGTACTCAAGCAGCACGTCTAAGTTGCTGTCTAAGTTTTAAAGAAATTTAAAACCACTGAAGCATAAGAAGTCTTTGCTGCAACACACAAAAAGGGTGTTTTTTTTAAAGGATGGCCTAAAAATTAAGGGTTTGCATCTTCTGCACTATTACACAGAACACTCTCGTCACCCTGGTTCATGCAGTAAGTGATTCACTTCAAGCTGCAACAGCCAGAAAGTTTTTTCAATCCCACCCTCTAAATCAGTGACCTATTCCTCATTCCATGCACCCAACAAAAACTACCTTTGCTCTTGTCTCCTTGAGAGGAATAGGCTGAAAAGACAGCACAAGGCGACACAGCAGCTGTAACGCTCGCAGAATAATTAAAAATATCTGCAAAAGAAAAAAAAAAGCGTTTTTAACCTTTTCTTAAGGTATATGAAAAAGAATCTTAAAACTCTTACAAGCTGGGTTCTGTCTCAAATAATTTTCATTCCTACCTCTTACCCAGTGCTGTATACACTGACACAGACGTGTAGGTAGCCCAGTTGCTACAGTACTAAAGCACTGTACAATATTCTCTGGCTCTTATTTATAGTACTACAATGACAGGGGTACTGCTGTTAACTCACAGATAAAGAACCAATGCCTAAAGAGGCTAAATGACCCATCCTGCTGGAGCAGACACAGTAAATCACCCAAATCCCATCTACCTTATCAGTCTCTCATTCACGAGGGAAACCAAGTAAGATGACTCTAAAGTCTGCCTCTCAAAGGCAGCCAAAGCCAACCATGTACCATCAGCTGAACCCAGCAGAAACACCAGCCGTTCAGAGACTGTCACTGCAGTCACAACTGAGTGACTAACAGCTGTGACCTGGCAACTGCCTTCCTGCATGGGATTCAACTGAAGCTGCCTAAGCAAGGTTTGCTTTGTCTTTTCCTCCTGCCCCAGGAAGTGACATCTCTGCATTTCCACAGCAAGCCTGCAAAGCCACCACAGCGACTGCTTCCTGCTTTGCAGCAGAGAAGCTGCAACACCCCACTTTACCAGCAACAGAGCAGAGCTGCATGACGCGCAACTGCAAAGCAGCAGCTCATTTCTGCTGCTTCAAATGTCCCCTGTCAATCTGATCTCCTGTTTTCCCCCCTCCCTCAGTTGTTCTACCAAAATCTCTGTGTGACTTGAAGCAACTGACTCCACTTCTTCCCTTAACCCAATTCCACCACAAAATGACTGCAGAGCTGAAGTCATTTTGAAGCCTTGTTTTCGGGCTGCTCTAAATCAAAGCTCAACTCCTTTGGCCTTCAATGGTGACTCATAGTAACAAACCAGCAACATTCCAACTCAAAGATCTGTGAAGAGTTTCTCTGGCTGCAAGTAAGCCCGAGCATATCCTCATTCAAATTTGTACTTAGAAAGAAACGTATTAAGCTGGTTTTCTCTGATCGACACTGCCAAAGCACGCTTAGGAAAAAGTAGCTCTATACCCTATACATAAAGCCATCCACAGTAGAACACAGAGTGTGCAGTGACACCAACCAGAACGAGAGGGTCCAGTTAGGCACAACTGAAACTGAAGAACTGAATCACAGAAGGACCTCAGATAAAAACACAACAAAAAGCCAAGGAATCGCCTAAGTCACCAATTTGTTTTCTCCAATCCCAACCCTCAAACACCACTTTGTGAATGACCTGACAGCACTGAGCCATGAGCTAGCATGCAAGCTCAGCAACCAACCCTGCACTGCCCAGTCACTTACATGAACCAACTCTTCATCATCTCGTGCAGCATAGATGGCAAAGCGCCTCTCCAGGGCTGACTGAAGGGCCTCTCCTTTTTCAGTGGAAAGCTTATCATTGACAGTGAAGGTTCCAACAAACCTGAAACATGAGACACTTACTTATTGTCTAGCATTTGTGACTGTATTCTTAAACTTTATAGTTCATCTGTTCCTTCTGTAAAAAGGACAGACTCTCAACCTTGTATTTAAAATCAGAAAAATCACTGAAAATTGGTAATTACATTTACCCCTCTCCCTGAACCCTGGCTCTACTTTCTATGTGATAGCATGATTAGGAGAGAGAGTTTTACCATTTCACCAAGTTGGAAAGGCAGACAAGGTCCACTTGGCCTGCAGGCACTTTTGTGAAGTGGGTGGGGATGATGGATAGACCAATGGCATGAAGATCTGGCTGGTTGCAGATCCTGTTCCTATAGAAACCATTTGCTAATAAACACAAGAGGTGAACCTGAGAGAAGAAAGTTTCTATAGTGAGTTCACAAGAGATTTTCTTTGGTGGAACTACTGTCCATGGTATAGGCGAGGAAGGCTTTACTGCTCCTTTTAACAGAGACAGGCAACAACAAAGCCTCCCAAGCATACGCAGGGTGGACATGGCTGTCTTCAGATCACCCTCAGAAGACAGTAAAGGCTTGAAGCTCCTATCAGTGTCTCCTGCTCTACATGACTGACAGTTTAACCCATACAGAATGAACAGATACACACTCAATGGAGAAACATACACCCTATGCACATCTGCTCTGATTTAGAATTTTACTAATGCAGTCACTGATGTCTCTAATTTACAGTTTAGAAGTCTAATGAGCATTTGTCAAGACTACAGCCTTTTTATTTTTTCACTTCTAGCCATGGCCCCAAATTATTTGATCAAAATTAGTTTTTTCTTCATTACGATTCAGTTCAGACATCTTTATGCTTCATTGTTTCTTCACCAGGTTTCTCTGTGACTAATACCTTATGTGTGTCTTCATGCACCTCCTTGCTGAAACGTTTCATCATTCTCCGAAGATACATCTCAAATTCAGCTTTCCTTTTTTCTCTGTATAAGATTACAACAGACATGAATGTTGTGGCTTTTCTATAGATCTGCCTTTCTAGATTGCCGAACTGGATCACTTCACAAAGAGAATCTATGCCAGAGAATCTTCTGCGCACACTTAACAAAAGTTTAGCTACTGGCTATGTGAATAGGCATGCAGGCTGCATATGATTAATAAACTGTGAACTCCATGTACCTGGCTCCTGAAAGCTTGGGTATATTGAGATGGCCTAAATCCTACCTAACTTTTTGTACCTACAGTTTCCTACCAGACAGCTTTGGACAGCTCCGTACTAACTTATAATCCACTGTCTGAATTGTTTTACTTTCAGATCACTGCTAGAATTCCATTCAGATTCCTGGGAAAATGGTTTTCTCTTCATTGATGAAGTCTTTTAACTTAGAGGCAACCAATATTCCAGTTGCTTTGTTACTAAGGGCTGGCCTGCGACAGCACCCACCCTGTGACAGCACGAGATATCATCAGACGTCCAGCTGCCACACAAAGTAAGCCTTCCTTGGTACGATGCTTGGAGACATCGAGGGCATAAATTCCACCCACCTGTTCACACCTCAGGTATGTGCACAGAGAGGCTTCCACCTGAGCCGTTAAGATATTTACAGTACAACAATGCCATTCACCCACAGTTCTCCCTGAAGAATGCTACTACTGTCCCTGGTTTGGAAATGTAGATACTAAAGCACAATAAAGTTACATGCTTAATTTTCAAGGAAGCTGAAAAACCTCCGTTCCCACTAACTTCCACTGAAGATTTCTGGTAAAACCGCCAGAGTGTAAACCGTTCTCCATCCCATGACCTCGCATCATTCCAACTCAACAGTCTGCACAAAGTGGGGATTTCCACCCAGAAGAGAGCAAGTCAGTGACAGTCAAGGCTTAGCATATTTTTAAGTTCATCCTTTAACGGCCCTCCACTGCGTTCCCTGTTCTTACCTCCTTTCTCTGTTCTTCATCTGCTCTGGGGTTTCAATCTCTATCTCGACAGGATTGCTTGGCAGCACCACTGCCGGAAGAACAGCAGCTTCTTGTAACTTATCTGTGGCAGGTTCCTGGAGTTCTGGAAAAATAAAATATTACTAAATGGTAAGTAAACACGGAATAGATGCCCCAGGAAAGTCTGACAATGGGATAAGAACCTACCTATTCCTTCTCAAGTGTTCAAACAACCTACAAACAGAACATCCCCCATAATTACCAGCTCCTGGATCTTCCATAACACTGTGTGTGCTCAGTTATTTCAAATAACTGTGGGATGCCAGTCACCTGCTGTTGAGGAGCCAGATCAGCAGTCTAATGGCAAATGACTGTCACAGGCAAACTCCATCAGAAGAAAGGTGAATGAAGCAGATGTGACTTGACGGGCACTTGTAGAGTAGCAAATTAAAAAGACTGACAATTGTTCACTTTAGAAGGCATAAATCTGTAGCAGCAAAATACAAAGATTATGATCATCATGATTCTTATCACAGTTTGTCGATCGCCACCTAATCAAACAGCTCAGTTGGTTTCATCTCCACTCTCCTGTACTAGGAAGTGTCAGTTTTGAATCTTCAAACCAACTGATTCTTAGCTGCTCAGTATTAGACAATAGAAACAGTTGTGAAAGTGCTTTATGCATGGTAGCATTATTTTAACGTAATCCAACAAATGGTCAAATTCAAGGCACTACCATCAGGTCAGTAGTTGTCTGGCTTTTTTCTGCTTTGGAACCATTATAAAAGCATTGTGAGATATGAGCTTTTAAAGACACAGATATGCACATAGAGCACACTTTAGGTATAGAGAGTATATACGTTTACCTGAATCCAAACAAGAAATGGTTCAAAAACCAAATTACTAAAAAAAAATTGCGTTTAGGAATATTTACTCCTTAAAACAAATAAACATGCAATTGTTACCTTCCACGTCCTCCCATTCATCTTCACTTTCATCATCATCATTGTCAGCACTGTCTTCATCCATCTCTTTTTTAACAGGAGAGTCTTTCTTCAACTTTATCTCCTTCTGAGGGGGCTTCAGCGAGCCACTGTTAAGATTATCATAATGGCTTTAGCATCAACTGCTTGTTTATTTAAGAAAAATAGAGAAAGAACACACTAAAAATAGGGAAACAAATGAAGCATGACCTCTGCATCAGTAACAACAGATTGAGTATCTGACAATTAAACCACAGATACCTTCCCTGTAAAGCAAACCATCTTTGCCATAAATAACCACGCACTCAATGGAGCAACACTTTTCAGTGCAAACTTAGGTCCTGGGTCTGCAACAATCCTTAGGAAGGAAGATGCCCAAGCCTACGAAAGGCCCCATACTTTATAACCGCTCGTACAAATGAGTCCCTGGAGAAATGGTTCGCTAAATCATTTGTTCTCACTGAACTTTCAAAGTGTACTGAAACTGGAACTGTTTCTGTTTGACTACACTAATACCCAAGGCTCTGGATGGCCAGTGAAATGAGACAGGTTAATTTCTTTTTATTAATTCATTTGCTATAGTAATCTCCATGGGCAGACCATGCTGATATTGTATTTGGATTCCAAAAAACACCATAGAATGGTATGTTTAAAGATTTCTGCTCATCATTTGAAACACAAATCTCAGGCCAACGTTGCTATTCATGCTGGATTCCATAAAGCCTCCCTAATCCCATGTAAAGACTGTAACAAATTAAATAAAATTTTATATTTAAACCATTGAGTTTGAAAAGGCTCACACATTTGCTTCCCATACAATCTTCCTGAGGACTGATGCTGCAATGACTAAGACCTTACGTCTATGCAGGTGTGTGATATAAATATACTAAACTGGACTGACAGTCTAAAATAAATGGCTCCATCGTCGTATGCAGCACTGGGCCCTACACAGATAACACATAACCATGAAGATGGAGCTCCTGTAGACTTCAGTGACACGTAAACTTACCTGCATGTTTCCTCTTTCTTACGATTCCCTTTGTTTCTAGTACTTTTTTTGTTTCCTTTTATTAGTGATTTTGCCCCTTTTTGTTTTGAAAGCTTATCTGCTGAGTTGAAAACTCCAGAATCACAATCTTCTTCCTTCTTCCTAGCCTGAGCTTTTGAGCCATTTTTCTTTATGCTGGGCTGCTTCTCTTCAAAATCATCTGCATGGGACAGAAGAAAGGAAGATACGATAAAGGGCGAACTTCCACCTCCATGGACATCATCTGAGCCAGCTACAGAAGACAGTGAGCACTCACAATGACGAGCATGTCACTGTTTCTGAATAAATAGTTAAGAATTGATCAACGAGACCCGTTTAAGGAAAATACTCGTAATAATGTAATGCACAAGAAGTGCATAAAGATTCCTATGGTCCCAGCAACGGGGTCAGTTGAAAAATAAGCATCGCCATCGCCATCGCCGCTCCCAAGCAATCATTCTGTGCAGCCACCCTGGAGAGCTTCTTCCCGGGCACCTCCCGCCAGCCACGGGGAGGGG